CATTTTGATATCTTATAATGAGTGTATAGAACTGATATCTAGTAAACATGGCAAGGTGAATTTCCCTTGTCTATTCATAGACAGAAATATCTAACTAATATGAGATGTGGGAATTTCGAACCCAAGTTTATCATATTAATCTCTATACAAAAGTTTTATTCCTATGAATAATTGATAAACATCCCTCATACAATGAACGACTCCGAGTCTTCTATTATGTTTTAGTATATACAAACTTTTTAGAGAGATTTTTTTATATGAACTCCTATTCATAAATAATCGAATATCGTTATTACATTTTAATTAGATCACTATGATTATGTTTCAAATACAAAAAAAAAATAATCACTACAGTTGAATTTAAGTTTTTTTGTAAATTGAGCTGTTTGATTTTGTTGTTATTGGTAACGTTCTTTTTTGTTGTGACCTTCGTTTTCTTTTCACTATATTCTTTATTATTGTCTTTGGATTTTTTAATTGATAATATGTCGATAAACGTACTAATTCATTTTCACATTCATCTATAGTCGAAGTTTGAATCTTTATCGTCACAAAGAAATGCACGATATGTTATTCGTCCATTTATTATATATTCACTAAATGTATATTACTACTGATACAAATCAAGTCTAATATTAATTGTTCTCTCCTTCTTGCACCATTTATAGCTTCCTCTCTCTTTTCATCCTAGCTGACAACAGCTTTTTTCTTCCTACGAAGAAAATATATCCTCGTTATGTATACATAAACTATCATTTTCACTCCTATGCTTTTGTAACTTTTATTCTCCAATAAAAATGATTCAGCAATATTTCAACGAGAAAAGGTTAAAAAGATTGAAACGAAGGGCTTTTTTTTACAAGGCCTGGATCTTCTAATATGTGGGGAGGATTAAAACTCTGTAGTACATATCCATTAAAACGTAGTATTCAGCAGTGCTCATTTATATCAAATAATAGTTCTAAAGTTTTATTCAGTAACTTGTATTTAACGAGATGGCATCGTATGTCATTAGATGAAAATTACTTTACGAACTCGTAGTTGAAATACTTCAGTTGGAACCATTCGTTGTTCAATAAAGGATGGGATTACGAAACAAACTCTTCGGAAATCTGCAGAATCAATGATGAGATAGTATGAATATGTACTCATACTTAATAGACTATGCTATCTTGTTGAGTACTACAGTGTGTACCAATTATTCATAGACATAAGACTTTTTTTGTAGAAATTAATAAGGTCGACTTGAGTTCGGTCTTATTCGAAATTCACATAACCTTTTAGGATACTTTTTTTGTTTTTTTTTAAGTAGACCAATAAGAAAAATACAAATATGATATTTATTTTAGTCTCTTCTCAAACAAAAATATCAAATTAATTTGACAAAGTACAGTGAAGAGATAAAGCATGACATTTTTGAAAAGACTTTTTTAATTAAACAAAAACTTTCGTTCTCATTTAAACTAAAAGAACATTAACTTATCTAACATTATTAAAATAAATTGCAATATTATTTTTTTTTGTTAATTGAAATTTTTTTTTCTTCTTTAATCTTATAGTTATTTGGAAACGTTTAAATGATCATGGTAAAAATTGGCGTCATGTTTATAAATCTCTTGTTTTATTGGATCATTTAATTAAATATGGTAATGAACGTGTTAGTCAACAATGTAAAGAAAATATATTTGCTATTCAAACATTAAAAGATTTTCAATATATTGAAGATCAAAAAGATCAAGGTTATAATGTACGTGAAAAAGCTAAACTACTTGTTGCTTTACTCAAAGATGATGAACGTTTACGTAATGAACGTCGAAAAGCACAAGAAGCTCGTGAACGTTATGTACGTCAAGCTATGGGTATGGATTCAAATGGTTCTGTTACATATGGACGTTCAACAACATCATCAATGCGACGTAATAGTATTGAAGGTAGTGATCCATATGGTGGTACATCATATTCATCAAGTCATAATACAAATCCATATTCAACAACAGGTCGTTCAACATCATATAATGATAGTCTTCATACAGCTACAGGTAGAGATTTTGGTCAACCAACAAGTCAAGAAGAAGAACAACTACAAATGCAAATTGCAATGGCAGAATCACAGCGTGAAGTTTGTTTTAGATTGAAATAAATATGTAAATAAAGAAATGAAATGTCCTGTTTTCTTTCTTCAATAGGCTGAAGATGAAGAACGTCGACGTCGAAATGATGAATTAAAACTTAAAATAGCTTTAGAACGATCAGTTAATGAATCATCACCTGAACCGAATAATACACAGGTAAAGAAACAAAATTATTTTAGTTTTCTAAATGATTTGATTTCAATGTATTCGTCAGAAAACTATCTCTTGATAAACAATTTTTTATCTAAACAATTAATTGTTTCGATAGTATATTTAAATAAAATGTCAGCTGTCAAAGTTCACTTAGAGTTATAATGAATTGATAACAATTCAAGCGTTTAAGTATGATAAGAATTTAATTTCTAGAGTTTGAAATGATATTATCTACATTAGTCTAAAATATTTATTTTTTTAGTTATTTGATTTTAATACAAATTCTCAACGTTTGGATTCATCACTTTTTGATACTCATCAAACTCATACATCATATTTACCGCCAACAACAATGTCAAATATTGGTTGGAATGCAACAAATACTCGACCATCAACTCATCTTGGTTTTACAACTGCTACAAGTAAGAAACAAATATTTTGTTGTTTGTTTGTTTGTTTGTTTTTCTTTCATCTATATATTGATTTATTAGATTCATCTGATTAATATTATACTATTCAAAAATAAAAGAAATTTAGTAAAACAAATAAGTTGTCGGCAATTCAAAATTTGAACAATCCTCTTCTTTTTTGTTATGGTTGGATAGAGCTCATCGAGTTACCTATAGAAATTAGAAAAACCTATAAAAATTGTAATATACTAAAAGTATCAAGTCTTGGTAGCTTCAATATTTATCCGTTAGATGGATAGGAAAACAATTACGTATGATTTTTGAAAAATATTGTTCGATTTTTTCGATATGATTGCAAAACACTACAAATACGGGTTTGTATTCTAAGATTTTGACTATGAGTACTTCAACGCCGAAAGAAACGAATATCATATACCGAATCATTGAAAAAAATCTGCATCGAATAGAATCCTCATCAGTCAAAACTAATTGGCGGCAAATTTTGGTTCTTACGGAAAGTACAGGTTAGAGCGTTTGAAAACAATAGTAAGTTCGTATAGAATCGAAATTTGATGCAAATTAGTTTTGAGTATTGTATTTAATGCAGATTTTTGTACTGACTCTGAGTATGATATTCGTAGCCATTGGAGCTGAACTTCTGATGGTTAAAATCTTACAATGCAAATCCATATATATGGTATTTTGCTATCATATTGAAAAAATCGTTTTTCTCAATCATGTTTTTTTCATAATTATATGACGAGTAAACTTTAAAAAAAAGTATTTGAATGAATATTTAAAGCTATCGAGATTTGACGTCTTCAATGTATTTCAATTTTTATAAGATTTTCCTGACTTTTTTGTTAAATCTAGCTTAATGCTAAAAAAATATTTCGCTCAATTTCGAATTGTCAGCGTCTTAAAGAAAATATATATATATATACAGTTAATGAATCGATATCTTTTTTTATTGCTTTAGTTTTATCAATTTTATTATAAATTCATTTATTTTCTCATAGATGATCCTTGGACATTAGAATCAAATGGTCATAATTCTGCTACAACAATATTAAGTGATCCATGGCAAGGTTCAACAGCAGCAACCCCACAAGTTAATCCATGGGGTGGAAATACTCATACAACTACTAATATTGATACTGGTCTTTCGGTCAATATATCAGACCCTTGGGGTCTTGGTACAACTCATTCTCAACCAACAACAGCGATAACAAGTTCACCTCCAGCAACTACAAAAACGATTGAAAATGAATTAAGTGACTTTTTTGGAGCTGGTACAAGTAAGATTTTTTTTTTTTTTTTGTTTTTATTATTTTTCTTTTCAATTCAACATTAATATTTTCTTTCATAGCTATATTACCATCATATAATCAACAACCACAAGTACCATCGAATCCGTGGAATACAACATCGTCTCCTATAAATACAGGTTCAATATCTCCATTAAATACAAATTTATCAACAGGTGGTAATAATGGAAGTATACTTTATCCAACAATACCTAGTAGTAATAATTTAAATCCTACTAGTGCAAGTCCAATATCATATTCAATGGCTGCATCTTGTAAAACACCCGAAAGTTTTCTTGGTGATAAATTTATTAATTTAGTTAATCTTGACAAACTTGTTACTGATCCTAGAAGTAAAAAAAACAAAAAATCAAAAACTTCATCATTATGAAACTTTATTCTTTAGGTACAAATCCATTTGGTTCAAATACATCACGTACACAAAATCCATTTACTAATTCAACAAAAGCACCAACACTTGATCAATTAACATCATCAAATAATACTGTTTTTACAAGTGGTTCATCATTACCTCCACCACTCATTCCTTCATCATATAATAGCAACAATACAACTATACCACCATTCAATACAAATAATCCATTTATGTGAACAAAAACATATTACTTTTATTTTATTAATCTTCCGTTATGAGAAAGATTTGTTTTAGTTGTAATAGATCTTATCCCATCTTACTTTATTTTTCTTTTGTTTCATAGAATCTCCTTTGCTTTTTTTCTTCTTTTATACATTACAAAATTGATAGATTTGTAATGTATCAATCATCTTAAACAACAAAGAACTGTTGTCTTGTGACTATTCTAAAGATCTTATTATTCGTTTCTCTTTTTAATTGTACATTCATTATATACAGTTTAATATCGTTATATGCGCAGTTTTTTTTCTCTTTGATACGAATGAAGTTATGTGTATTTTTCTCTTTGGAAATAAAAAAATAAAGAACATGCTGTAGCTGATCAAATATTCAGTTGTTTTAGATGGCAACTATTGCCATCATGGAAGAAAATTCATTAAATATAAATTTGCATCGAAATGAAAATCTACAACCAATAATATCATTTGGTTTAATAACAGATATTCATTATGCAAATAATGATGATCGATGGAATTATTCAAATACATTTCTAAGACGTTATAGAAATTCTTTAAATTTAGTCGATCAAGCATGTAATTATTGGTTAAATGGAATATATCCGATAGCATTTATAATTCAACTTGGAGATTTGATTGATGGATGTTGCCACACCAATAAAACATCAATAAATGATTTAAAAATAATTCTTGAACAATTTAGAAATATTTCGCCTATTTATCATATTTGGGGAAATCATGAATTATATAATTTTACAAGAAATGAATTATTAAATGGACCATTATGTTCATTTGATACAAAAAATATTTCACCTGGTCACTATGGAACATTCAAAGTTTCTCCTAATTTAAGAATTATTGCAATTGACACTTATGAATTAAGTTTATTGGGTATTGATAAAAATAATACACTTTATATTCAATCAATGAATTTATTAAGAAAATATAATCAAAATGAAAATATCAATGATCCAACTGGATTAGATAGTTATCAACAACGATTTATACAATTAAATGGTGGACTGACACAAAAACAACTTATTTGGTTAAAAGAACAATTACTTCAAGCAAAGGATCTTCATGAAAAAGTTATTATCGTAGGTAAAAGCAAAAAAAAACTCAAAATAAAATATTATACTACACTTCAGAAAAAGCATTTTCTCTTCTTTCAAAAAACACCTTGAAAACGTCAAGAGAAATTTACATGTCTTGTCCGACAAATAAACGTCTGAATTTAATTCAATACAAATACTTTCTCATATAAATTAAATCAATCTGTTTACATAGTATTTACATTTCTCGCCTTTAATAAACATGACATCTATTCTTTACATTCCTACACACAAAAAAAAACAATGGTAAAATAATTCAATAAATGTTTTTGTTTACAGAAGACAAATAGTTAATTAGATGATAAGACAAAATATATTTTTTTGCCTGAAGGAATGAAAAAGTTATTGAAAGTAGGTTTATTCATATAATGATTCAAATAAGAGATGATCTTTCAGTTCGACTAAAAATAGCTATGACACATACTATTAACAAAGATTTAATTGCTTAAAATGCCGTTTCAAAAAACAAACACATGATTCATTAGCATTCTATGTTCAGTGTCATGTTCTCTTTATGTGTACACAAACAATTAACCTATTCTTTTTCTTTACTTACGATCGAACCACCTGAACTGATGACCACTGGTATGAAATTTTCAAGTAAACTCTTTTTTTTTGTAATTGTAGTAAGTAATTATTTTTTTTTTGGAAATTCATTATCTCGACAAAAGAATATTCTTTTTGACTGACACTTTCAAAATATTGTGTGGACCATTTGACCAATCAATGAGCAAACTTTTACATCGAAATTATATTTTCTCGATGTATACCTAAAAACTAACTCGAAAATTCAGTAAAACGATCCGAACTAGGCTTCAAAAATGCATAAGGATGAATTCTTTTAGGCTTTTGCTAGTCTTATTAAAACTTTCTTTGATGTCCCAATGTACATTCAAACGATGAGTATTAGATCGGGTAGTTTTCTTCTTAATAACTTCCATTCTCATCAATGCTATAGATTATCATAATAATAACTGTCATATTTGTTTTTTTCCATTTAATATTAAAATTCTTTTGAGAGTATATTAACTTATTTTTAAAGTTGTATTCATTTGAGATTTTTTCTTTCTTTATTTCTTCCATAATACTCTTCAACATATTCAATATGTTTTTATTCAATTCAAATCTCTAGTGTCTTCCAATGATGGATTGTCTTTTCTTCTAATATTTTAAGGTCATATTCCAATTCATCCAAAAGCATGTGATGAACTTGCTCTATTATGGAATTATGAAGATGTTTTAGATATTCTATGGACATTTGATAATAATGTTCTTGCTTATATTGCTGGACATTCTCATGAAGGTGCTTATTTTTATGATGAAAAAAATATTCATCATTTAACATTACAGGCAATAGTTGAATGTGAACCAGATACAAATGCTTTTGCAACGGTACATGTTTATAAAGATTATTTAATAATTGAAGGTGTTGGACGCATTGGTACTTATCGAATTGATTTTAACAAATTTAAATGAGAAAAGACAATGATATATAAGTACATAATTTATTTTCGAAATACCAAAAAAAATATATTTTATTTTTTTTATTTTTTTAAAAAATAACTTTTTTCGTTATTACTTGTTAATAATTAAAATAATCATCGTGTCAAATATAAATAAAAAAAGAAATCATTTCACAGATTATCGAATATCTTCTTTACACCTGTTCTGTTTTATATGATGCAACGAAAAGAAGAAGTGTTAGTAAAAAATATGCGCATAATTTAATGTACAAAAATAGATTTTATAAATATAAATCAATGTTAATATTGTCTCGTCTTTTCTCACATTTTAACGACCAATGTTCGATGATTGTTTACTTGCTGTCATACTATCGTCAATTGCAATGCAAATTTGAATAATAAAGCCGATTAAACCAAAGATATTAGCTAGCAAAGCTGTCCAATAGACAATCGGATGACAGAAAGCCAATGATGCTGGATGTTTTAATTGAAGTTTTATACGTAATGTTAATTTTACCCACCAAATCTAAAAATAAAATATTTTTATTTTATTTCATAAAATCCAAAATAAACAACATACAGTTCCAGTAATCCACCAAATGAATATAATAATACTAAAAATAATTCCAAATAAAGTTGCAATTAATATTCCAATACCTTTTTCTAATGAAAATGATCGTGCACGTCGAATTACTAACATATATAGGTTTATTTTAGAAAAAGAAATCAATAAATTAAAAATTTCTTACAAGCAAGAAATGTTATTCCTAAAATTTGATAAATAAAAAGATTAATAAGAATTAAAATACCAAATATAATTAAAAATATTGGTATATTAGGTTTTGCAATACATGAATTTCTATAGATTATTCCAATTACGAGAAATATAATTGGAAAAATAATTAAACAAATAATTACATATAAAGATAAATTATTAAAAATTTGAATTAAAATTTTTTTTCTTTCTTGTTGTTTATCATGTTCATTAAAGGATTGATTAAAATTTGTTAACGATTCAAGATCATTCAAATCTGTATCAATTGAATGATGCAATTGATTTTTCATATGTATACAAAATCGAAGTATATGTATAGATAAAATAACAAAAGAAAATTAATGACGCTGTCAATGAAATAATGTATAATCGATTAAACTTTTGATTGAAGAAAAAAAAATGAATAGCAATGAATTATCGTTATGGGTAAGAGGCGCGTCATAGTACTTGAATGTTAAGAACAATACAAAGAAAAAAACGAAATAAGATGAGAAAAAAAAATGTTTGCATTATTTTCTTTATGTCGTTCTTTTCGAAACATGGCTTCCTCTTGTCTGAAATAACTGATGAATCGTCTGAGTAAAAGAAGATTAATAATCGACTGTAGTCAATTAAAGATAGTAACCTAATTGTTGACCAATGGTCAATAGTCAAATATATAAAAAAAAACGAAACGAAGAATAAACGTCATTCATCATTCATCGACTGACTGAACAAATCAAACTGAAGAAATAAGATCATATTTGTATTATTATTGTTGATGTCAACAACACATTATTTGCGCATTAGAAAGAGAGAAAGAACACGTTCTCTCGTCACAGTAGGTAACGTCTATTCACAAGTTTTTACCCATCTGTCTATCATTTGATCCTAAATGATAGATGAAAACAAAAATATTGAAAGAAAAAAGAGAGAAGTACTTGTGAATCGACTCCATCATCAACTAGACATGAGAATATCAATTAATATAAGTTATATATACATATATTAAAAATTCGAAACACATATTATAATATATAAAGTTCAATCAATTCATATTGTCCATGGTTGTTTTTTTTTGCGTAAATGTAACAGATTACATTTAGTTTAAAAACAAAAGTTTTTTTTTATGAATATGAAATTTTCTAATTTGAAAATTAATATGTTTGACAGATTTTATGATCTTCTTATATAATTCATGTAAGATTATGGTAATAATATCTTTACTCGTCATATAGATCTTCTTTCATATAACCGAATATATTTATGTATGTATTATGGTGAGACCTATTAAATATATAACGAAAACCATCCATAGTTTTTATGCTTGTCTATTCGTTCAAAATGATACGATGTGTAAAAGCAAAAAAAAATGAATATCGAGTTAAAAAGAAAAAAAAATCATATCTATACATCCGGTAATGAATATCTATCATCGTCATCGTCCACTGAATCTTTTTCCCCTTTTATTTTACTGTTCACTGATGTGTGATACGGACTGTACATTGGTATAAAATACGAGAACAGCAAAGATATTTTGAGCCAGTATATATGCGTATATATATTCATGTGCATATTTTTATAATTGCTCTGATAGTCGAAGATTTGGTATAATTCCTCCACTTTGTGAATCGATCGTATTTCTCGCTTCTTCGTTCTTTTATTTATCTGCATATATCCACACGTTCTGTTGACTGAATTCTTGACCGCCTATCACGACATATATATATCCTTCTTGTTAGTCGAGTGATCTTACGGGAGGAAAAAAACGGCTATACACACTTATACATATACACATACATACACTATTATTATTATTTTTTCTTTATTTCAATTCAACATTAACAGTTATCACAAGCTTAAGTAAAAAAAAAGGCACCACCATATCAAGCATCATGCATAAGAGCAAAGTCGTAAGTTATTTCATTGACTATTCTTTTTTTTATTTATGCATAGATTGACTATTCTCAAACGTTCACTTATCCATAAATAAATGTTGTCATACATGTCTCGATCGAGAAGTGGTCAATTTATTCTAGTAACTACTAGTTGTGTTCGACACTTGCTTATAAAAAGGAAGAATAGAAAAAAGTACATTCTCGTCTCATCCCCGATTTGCTTGTACAATAAGCAAATATGTAAATACGATTTGCCGTTGTCATGCACTAACATTTCTTTACATCGTTAAAGATAATAATGAGAATAAAAGTAAACCTTTTCGACGTAATCAGAATCATCTGTATATAAAAGCAAAAAAAGAAAAATCGAACAATGATTCTTTTTTTTTTTTATATTTGAATATTTGATTCTCTGTTTCTTTCTCTCTTTTACTCTCAAGATAGTCTCATATTCGTACCTACATTAGTACAATTTGATGAAAGATTTAACATATATAAAGAACATAAAGAGAGTGTTCTTTCAATTTTTTTTTTCTCTGTCCTCTCGAGGACGCGTAAAAGAAAGAAAATAAGAGACGAAGAGAGAGAGAGAGAGAGATGGTCAGTCAAACAGAGTGTTAGTTGTGCATTATTAACGAAAAAAGAAAAGAAGTAAGTGGCTATCAATAAGAGACCCAAGGTATCAGAATAAAGAAATTCTTTTGATTTATTTTTTCTGGGTAATTGAATTTTTTTTTTTACATTTTTTTTTGTCTTGTCTGAACAAATATGAAATTTTTAACATCAAATCTATTTTGTTTCAAGGTAAATACAAAACGTGAACGTCGTTCGTCAAATAATAAAAATCAGCACAATAATATATCCAAGCAACCACAAACAGAATCATATTCTACAATCGGTGCTTTAGTTACCGGTCTAACAAGTACACAAACCAATATGTCTAATGATACAAATCAATCTGATACATCACTTATAAAACCAACATCTATTGAAATAAATAATCAATCAAATGGAATTATACATGAAAATATAAATCATTCACCATCAAAATCTCTTAAATTTAAAATAGGTAATGATACTGAACCTGAAAATCTTTTAGCAACAAATAGATATCATCGTAATCAAATAGACTCAAATGATCATATATATGAAACACCATCAAATATAGATAATAATCTTCCATTATCATTAGAAACACCAATGATTTCATCGTCGGATGAACAAGGTAATAAATCTATTGAAAATAATCATTTATCATCGACAAATTCTTATAATGAACGTCATACAAACAATGACCTTGATAATAACTTATTATCTGATGTGATAAACCCTACAACTGATAATGGTATTGAAATAGAAAAAGTTAATCTTGATGATTCATTAAATTCAACAAATGCTATAACATCATCAACAATATTATCAGCAGCACGTCTTCTTGAAGTAAATCAACCACGTGAAACAAGTCCAACAAGTGGTGTTATTATACCTGAAGAAAAACGTGTTACTGATCGTGTTAAAGTGTTTGAAGCTGTTGCTAATAATGATCAATTAATACAAAAAAAACAAACAATAAAAAATGGTAATCAAAAAAAAACTCCATCATCAACAAATTTTTCAATAAATGATCATAAACAAAATAATAAACGTGAACAACAAATATCTCCATCATCATCATCAACAACAACAGCAGACAGTCTTGATATTCAATCAACAAATGAATTAAAATCATCAATAACAACAACAAAAAACAAATCAAAACGTCCATCATTAAAAAAACAAATACAAAATTTACTTAAAATAGATAAAACACCATCACAAGATGATTCAACAATTCTAGAAGAACATTTATCACTAACAAATTCTAATAAAAAATCGAATACACTTAATTCCACGCGTAATAATAAACGAGATAATGGTAAATTTAATAAATATTTTCTAAATAATAAAATAATAATTTTCTTTTTTTGGTTCTTTTTTAATTAATTAGATGTATCAACAACAACAACAACAACAACAACTACACTTAAACGTTCATCACCATCAACATCTCAACAACATAGTCCAACAAATGTTAATGATACAATTAAAAAACGTTCATCACCACCATTAACAACAACAAAACGTATATCACCAAGAGAATCACCAACAAAAAGTCAACAAAATTCTCCTATACCAAATGTTACAGAATTTAATATGAAACCTATTGCTGTTGAACCTCTTCAAATAAGTATTGAATCAAATTTAACTAAAAAAAAAACGCCATCACCAACAAATAAAATTTCAACAAATGGTTTATTAACAAGTGAAATTGACCAACGTCGAAGTTCAACAGGTGTATCAAAATTAATTCATACATTTCAA